CAACGTACCTCGGAAGCTGTATTGGCAACAGCTCGGTATTCAGCTTCAGTGGAGGAGCGAGCGACACCACGCTGTTTCTTTGAGGACCATGAGACAGGGTTGCGACCAAGATAAATCAAATAACCATTGGTGGAGACATAATCATCAGAGTCTCCAGCCCAATCAGCGTCGGAGTAAGCATGGAGAGTCATGGGAGAAGAAGCGTGAAGATAGACACCATGTGTTAGCGTACCAGCCAAATATCGTAACACACGCTTAGCAGCCTGCCAATGTTCGTGAGTCGGCTTGTGAACAAACTGAGATAGGCGATTAACAGCATAGGAAATATCAGGTCGGGTAAATGCTAGGTATTGAAGACTTCCAACAAGGGAACGATACTGTGAAACATCGTCGAGCGGGTCGCCGCCTGTTAAAGTGAGCTTCGAAGCAGCTTGTAGTGGCGTTGTAATCGGCTTAGCATCCAGCATATTGTGGCGAGTGAGAAGATCAGTGACATAGCGGCGTTGCATCAAATGCATTCCTTTGGCAGTACGGGTGACCTCTATACCAAGAAAATAGTGGAGATCGGTGGGATCTTTTATAGAGAACCGTTCGGCGAAGGAGGCTAAGACTTGATTCACCATCTTGCTGTTGTTTCCTGTAACAATGATATCGTCAACATAAACAAGAACATACGTTGTGGTGGTTGTGGAGCTATGAATAAAAAGAGACGCATCAGCTAGGGAATTTGAGAATCCGGTGTCCAAAAGATATTGCTTGAGTGCCGTGTACCACGCACGTGGTGCTTGTTTGAGACCGTAGATTGGTTTCTTGAGACGACAAACAAACGATGGTCTATCCTTGTCAATGAATCCAGGTGGTTGAGTCATGTAGACTTCTTCGGTTAGTTCTCCTTGGAGGAAGGCATTATTTACGTCTAGTTGTTTGATGGTCCATGCTTTTGTGACTGCTACTTCCAGAACGACGCGAATGGTTGTTGACTTGATTACGGGACTGAATGTCTCTACATAGTCTTGTCCATATTTTTGATGAAATCCCTTCGCAACAAGCCGGGCTTTGTAACGATCAAGCAAACCGTTGGA